TTACTGATTCCTGTGGGCAGCTTGTGTCTGAAACTGCACAAATATGGGGACTAAAGTTCTTCACTTATTTTCCCTCTCCACTCTGTTTGAAAATAAATTAATCTGTAGAAAGAAAATGGAAATTTTATATAGTAAAGAAATATTCTTTCCATAATATGTTAGAAGAATACTGGTTTATTTTCCAGTCTTATTTTCCCCTAAGAACTCATCGATAATAACTGGATGATTTTTCCTTTGAATTTTCTTTTATTTGGTAGTTTGTTTCATATCTGCAAAGATAGACCTCCACTTTGGCATGCCATTCTCCTGTGCTTTCAGCTGAGAAATCACATAAGAAAAACATGACAATTTCTGAGTCAAATTTAAAAAGAAAAATCCCACTCAAAAGTAAATTAAATATCACCACATGGCTTTATCTACATTCAAGTTTTATAGTAACTAAGGTTAAGTTCAGGACAAATGAGCCAGCATTTTCCAGCAGTCAAAATCACTGAAGATTTCAAACCAGATTCCCCCTTGACTCTGTTTGGTATCTGAGATATGTATTTTCGTTAAAATTTAATTTTAATAAACCTTATCAGTTTTACCCAAAAAGCTCAGAACATTTTATGGTTGCTGACTATAACCTTAGTGAAAGAGAGGACCATATCTAGAGGGACATAATCCCTAAACATCCACAGATTATTCTTAAATAACAGATCGGCCACATACCCTATGGCCATGTGCCAGTAGGAATTTCCCAAAAGCTATATAAAAGTTTTGAGTTAAAACAATGAGGGAAATTAGTGTTGTCATTACAATTTTCCTGATCTGTGGGAGAAGGCAGTTACTGGTGAAATGCAAACACATGGTAGTGGGGACCATGAGGGTTTAATTCTGAATTATGCTATTTCTATGGGACTGACATATTTTCAATTTTTAAAGAAGTAATATTTTATGTATAAGGGACTGAAATATAAAGAAGTGATTTCTCTAAGGATCTGGCATAAATGGGATACAAGTTCATTTCTTGAATTTCCAGTCACGGTTTACTCACAAGATTGTAATTTCTTATTATTAGAAATGTGATGATTATGTGTGTATGGAGGTTGTTTGGGTTTTTTTTTACAGTTTGATAATTTCATATAATGCAAGATAGGGTTTTTTTTTTTCCCAAGTAAGAATCAGATCCTAATTTTTCCCCCATTCTGCTAAGAACTTAGCTTCATAAAAAAATTTGTTTTACTTACCAAAAAAACCACAAGCAACTAAACCCTTCCCTGCTACAAAAAGAAAGACGCCAAACCCCAAAATAAAACGAAAAATGAAATAAAAGTATTTCTTTTTTGGGTGAATCTGAACGAGTTCATGGTTTTCTATTAAACTACCCTAAAGTAATTGTTCTGATTTGCTTCAATAACACATCTGAACTAACATTTATCAACACCATTCAACTTCTTATGCTAGGAAACTGTCATTTCATTTATATGTATGATATTTGTCCACTGAAGAGAAAAAAACAGGGAATGATAATTTAATATTTTGTGCTACACAATAACCTAGTGTTGCCATATTAAATTCTGCAATAGCAAGTTCAAAAGAACTAGAAAGTTCAGCACTTATTACAACGAGCAATTCATTCCAAAAGATGTTACAGAGGCCAAAAGTATAAATCACAAAGTCATGGACACAAATTCATAGAAGGTAACCATGACTGCTGGAAATAATTGCTTGAATATAACCTTTGAGTCAGAAAGGTCTTAAATTTTGATTGCTGTATCTTGCAGGCTGTAACGAAGGAAAAAAAATTGACTTTTCAAGGCAGTTTACTGTACTGTGTGTCCACAGATGACTGCTGTAATAACTGGGAGACTCCTTTGAAGGATAAGGGTATAAAATAATAGAATTATAGAATGGTTTGGGTTGGAAGGGACCTTAAAGATCATCTCATTCCCTGCCATGGGCAGGGACACCTTCCACTGGACCAGGTTGCTCAGGGCCCCATCCAACCTGGCCTTAAAACCTTCCAGGAATGGAGCATCTACAAATTCTCTTGGTAACCTGTGCCACGGCCTCACAACTCATGGTCTCATGGGTAAGATCATCAAAAGGCCAGCTCAAAAAGAACCCATAAAACATTTTACTGACAGTATTAATAGTTCTGCACACACTTTAATCCTCTTGGGCACACACACATGTTACCTCTTTTGACCTTTTTTATCCTGACTCCAATTAAAAGCTGAGGTTATCATACTGGATAAGGATCTAAATGTTGATATTAAATCAGTGCTATTAAATACTCCAAATAGAAACATAAGTAACCAAGGTTCATGATTCATACAAATGAGCATGTTTGCAGAAATAACTAGAAGAAATAAATATAGAGAAAAAATAATTCATGTGGCAAATTAACCTGTTTTTGCTAATAAAATTTTCTTCCATCATAATGTACTTCAGACAACATTGGAGGGACTCAGCAGTGTGTAAGCCTTCCACTTAAACTTTCCCTCAGCAGACTGATGATGTTTTGGCATGTTTCCCAAAAAAGGTTTTTGTTTTACAGTGCTATGTGAAATCAATTTCCATAAAACCAACAGATTTAAAACCCTTCTCTGCTGTAAAAGCAAATGATAAATTAAAAAAAAAAGCTTTAAAAAGTGCTCTTCTTTCCCTTTAAACCTTTGAAAGCTTTGCTCATATTCAAATGAGGAGTTTTTCATGTGCACAGAACATTTGTTTAAGCTTCTCTCTCTAATACCAGAGCAATATTTTTTTATTTTGGTTTCTTGAGCCTTTTCAGTAGACCACAGCAGTCAACGTGGTTCAATAACAGCTGAAATTGTTCGGAGCAGTGTATAGCTCTTGTCTGTTGGAAACAGCTTTATTTATTTGTTTATTTATTTATTGCTTTTATCTTAAATGATGCATGTAGGAAATACATGGAAAGACTTCATGCTGCTTAAAAGAAACCAACTGGAAATTGCTTTGATCACATAAATTAAAATATACGTAAGCAAGAATAGATATTTCCTGATTTGTTCTACCCCATCCTCCTTGTGGAATGACCTTTTTGCCAGTATTTATCTATAACAAGCAACAGTTTTGTTCTACAGACAAGACAGGGATTTGTGTTTAACCTTCTGAAACTGGTCCAATTTGTAATGTTGCTTGAGATTCTTTTTCCAGTGTTGCAAAACTGTTTCACACCAGAATCTTGCCTTTTGTATGGCTATTAATGAATTTTTTTTTTGTTTATATCTTTAATATAAATCCTTCCAGAGTTCAAGAAGCACTTGGGCAATGCACTTGGGCACATGGCGTGATTCTTGGGGATGCCTTGTGCAGTGTTAAGAGTTGGACTTTGGTGATTCTTGTGGATCCTTTCCACCTCAGGATGTTCTGTGATTCCATAATTCTCCATTTTCTGTGTGTTTCTGTACAGCACTCAGCACTTTCATCTGTCCTTTAAAACTGAATCTGGTGTAGATATCTGTTCATTAGTTTTATCTGAGCTGATGTGGCCACATGATACACATCTACATAGAGGAATAAGCTCGGATTGGAAAGGCATTGCAGCAGGAGTGGCACTTCCCTGTGCCTTCTAGTTCTGGCACATTATGCTTTTAAGATGTTTCTTGTGCTCTCCATCCTGGAAGTTTTTATTCTTTCAAGAAGACCAGGTCTCCTGGGTACGAATTTGGGATGCTTGGATGGGCATCAGTTACCTGTGGATGGTGATCCCAGTCTGGAAGCTGTAGCACAATGCCAGTGGCGTTGCCTCTGCACTTGGGGCAAACAGCAAATGTGTTTTCCCTTTTTCTAATCAGTTAATTATTTCAGTTCCACCTTTGCCTGCATGTTTTTTAAGAACCCTTCTGGTTACTTTCATTGCACTTTAGAGATCACAGTTTGTAATTTGACTCATTGCATTCCCCACAAGTAGACTGATTTCCCTCTTGAAATCTTGATGTAGTTTGTGTACAGCATGTGTTATCAGGGGGACTAACAGTATGGTTATTTCATCTCCAGTTGTTGATGAGACAGTCCAGCTTCTCTTTACAGTCCACAATTAAAATTAAATACTTGGGGGGTAAAATTCCTCTGATCTGTTTGATATCACTGCTTTAGCAAGAGATGACTCATGCTGGAAATGCCAATTCCTCTCCAATGAATATAAAGGTAGCCCACATCATTAACTGGGGCATAAGTACTGCTCATATTAATCCAAAGTATGAGCCCTGACTGTGCATCAATACTCTGGTGGGCTTGAATGCTGAGTAAACTCCAGACAGGTTATTCCACCCTTAATGGTCTTGGGTCTTCAACAGCAAATGTATAAGAATAGCCAGAAGGGAGCACTGACTACAATAGTCAGCACTGAGAATAAAACAACTTACATTCTGTCAGTTTTTTGTGGAAGAATTTGGATAACAGTGAAATCACATAGCACCCAGAAAAAAGAAATGTACTTTTTTGGCTGAAGTCTTCTCCTTTTGATGCTGAAAGCTAATGCCATGGGAGAGTGAGAAGTGGCAACAGAACTTCCTATCTATAAGTTTGGGGTGAATTAGAAAAGATATTGGTAGTTAGGAGATCATGCATAACTCAAAGAGGAAGGGCAATGTGGTTAAAGCCAGAGAGAAAGATGTTGCATCCATCAAAGTGCAAGCTGATGAGAAGTTGCATAAGAATGTGATCCATGTGGGTAGATGGAAACGTTGTGTTGGTGAGATGTTATTCTGGAAAAAGATCTAAAAGAAAGCTGATAAAGGAGTGAGTTAAAACAGTTAAACCACTCACCTGAATGCCTAGCAAACAAACTTCATTCACATTACTTGAGCTACTGCACACTGGACAATGATAATTTTCAAGAAAAACATGAATTTACAATACAACTTGAAATAAACAAAAGCAAAACTGCAAATATTTTCCAAACAAGGAAATAATGCTGGGACAACAATGGTTCTTCTCTAACAATGCTCCTCTGATTACTTTTTTCTTCTCGATTTTTCTCCTTGCAGTTTTGCTCGTCCAGGGAAAGGTTCATGGCTTGGTAAAGGCAACCTGGAGGCAGGAGCAGACCAGTCCAGTATGTCATTAGAAAATCTAGTGTTTGGAGCTGGCTACTGCAAACCCACTTCTTCAGAGGTAAGGAGGATGAGGAATGATGTCTTACTTCAATTCCATCACAGAGCATCCATATTGTCTGTGGAGAACATGTCATGGTTTTATATTTCCTGTAGAGGATTTTTTTTGAAGAGCAACCCTTCAAACATTTCTGCATGAACCACCTGGCACTTGGCTACACAATTCCTGGGTGTTCAGGCCCCACCTGCATGGACCATATAATGGTTCAAGATGTATGGATGTACCCCCCCATGGACAGTGACACTTTTAAGACAGGATTCACCTGACCAGCTATCTGATGTCAGGTGAAATTAATTATTCAGGAAAACGTCCTGGCTTTCAGTTCTTGTGCATGACAGTCAGAGGATATAGTCATTATTAAGGATATTGTGAAAGAAGGATTTGTGTCCAGAGTATTGTGTGTGTTGGTGATGGGGTGCTACACACAATGCAGGTACTACAGTTAGTGTGTGTCTTTGATCTTGCTACTTACCATAGGGAAAAAGGAGAGCTCATTGTGCAATTTTAAAAATAAAGTTGGTTGTTTTAAAATGATTAGTTGATTTTTTGCTGGTATTTTTTCTAGTTTCTTTTTTTGTGTTTTTTAAGTGCTAGCTTTTTTCTTTTTTTTGGTCAAAAAAGTTTCCTCAGCCCTAGAAACTCACCCCAGAATATTGCAACCATTAACCTGTTAAGAAACCTTGATTCAAGGCTTTTCATTAACATGCTGCCCTCAGCTTCCCTCAACCTTTTCTGTCAAAGTTTTTCTGTATAAATATTAAAAATATGCAAGCCTAGAGCACTTGGTGCAGAGGAACTACCAGGGAATTAACAAGGGCTGAGAGAATGTTTGGCCTGAGGCTGCTATCCCAAACTTTGGGTCAGTGCATGCTTTTGGCAAACAAGCTGACCTCAACCTCTGCCTCTCTGCTAGACAGTCACATCGTAGGCATTTAAATAACTATTTGTATTTTAGGCCAATCTCATCACTCATTAGTGAGAGTCTTCTTTGGAGAGTGGTGCCTATTTTCATTATCCTCTGCACAAGTCTCTGTTGAAATAAGAGAAATGGAAAGCTGTCCACTCCCATTTTTGCTTTTAGTCTCCAAGGAAAAGTCTTGGTCTGTTGTAATTAGAAAGAAAATCTTTTTTCCTTCCCAATTTTCTTCCTTAGCTGGAAACTATCTTCTACCTATCTCTGTAGATCAATTTTTTTTTAAAGGCAGGATAATTGTGAGTTGACCCTAACTGGAAGTCAGGTGCTCACCAAGCCATTTTATCATTCCCCTCCTCAACAGGATAGGGTGCAATAGAGAAAAATTGTGGGTAAAGATAAAGTCAGTTTAATGAAGCGAAATCAAGGCCATGTGCAGAAGCAAAGGAAAAAAAAAGATTCATTCTCTTCCCATCAGCAGGTGATGTCCAGTCACTTCATGGGAAGTGGAGCTTCAGGGTGTGAAGTGGTTTCACTGGAACACAAAAATTATAAGAGTGAATGCCCCCCATTCTCCTGCTTTTCCTCCACTTCTATTGCTCAGCACACATCCTATGGTATGGAATATCCCTTTGGCCAGTTTGGGTCAGCTGGCCTGGCTGTGTCCCCTCACAGGATCTTGCCCACTCCCACTCTGATGATGGGGGAATGTTGGAGGCAGTGCTGGTGCTGGTGCTTGATGCCTCGTGGAGGCTGACCTAGAATAGAGACCAAACAGAGTTAAAGAATAAAGTAGAGATTTATTGAAAGGCTTCCATGGACACCCCTTGGGCAGCACAAGAGCCCAGCCAGGGCTACACCCAAGATGAACCCAAATGGTCACAAAAAATGGATGAACAGCCACAAGGTCTCTCACTTTTATAAGTTCTGGTTCATTTGCATATTGCAGTTAATTGTCCAATTACAGCTTTAGATTATGAGGTCCCATCCTTTTTTTTCTCTCTTCAGTCAGTTTTGTTTATGCTCTTGGGCCTGAGATTTGGAACATTTGTCCTTGGTCCCCAGCTAGAGAAGGAATTGTGTTGTCCACCTGCTCTGTGAAGAGAGCTTACTACACACTGAAGCAGTACAGAATCTGAAAAATATAAAAGCTAAAATCTAAAGCATCATGCTCAACAGGAGCCAAAACACTGCAGTGCCACCAACACCTCTGCAGCCACCAATGCCCAGCACAGACTGGGAGGGCTGCCATGGAGAAAGTTAACTCCATCCCAGACAGAGCCAATACAATTATTATTATCCTATCAGATGAACTATTAAATACCAAAAGGAAATTGCTGTACCAAGAACTGGCTTTAGCACACTACTACCCTGCAGCCACCAGAATGTCACATTCCAACCTCATAAATGTAATGCTGCACTGTCCACATGGCCAGATGTGCATTTGCTTAGCTTCAGAAACCTCCATAAGTCATGACATCTGTTCTTGAGCTCAGTGTTTTAATTTAATAGACTGTGATGGCCTTTTTGCCTATGCATGATGCATGATAATGCGCAAAAGCTTTTTTCTCTTGGCTTAACACAAAAAAAAAATTAAAATTCAGAGATAGAAAAGAAACTGTTTTGGGGCTACACCTAACTCCAAGCAAAGGCTGTGTGACTGACTGCTGGTTTATATGGAAGTTTATATCAGGCTATAAGGAATTGAAAGAAGAGGAGCAATAGAAGTTCTTATCACGCTGTAGTACTTGGCACTGGGTCAAGTTTTCTCCCCTTTAAAAACTTGTAGATATGATTCCAGGTTGTTTGAATGCATTTGTTAAGCTTCAATTGGTTTGGAGAATTTTGCATCACTACCAGTGGGCATGAGAATGGATTCTACCCTTTTCATGAAGTAGAAAACCCCAAAACCTGCAGACCTCTCTGATTGCTATATACATATATTTGTTTGGACCTTCCCTTGCATGTCTGAACTAGTAACTATGAATACCAGAACTCAAAATATACCACACACATATTTCTGTTTGTAAACTATTCTGATTTGATGCAACTGGTGAAATCTAGGGTGAAACATTAATAGATCTGGTCTTCTAAGGCTGACAAAACTTCACGGAGAGGCAGGACATGGGAAAATCAATTTTGTAGGGATGTTGGTTAGTTTCTTTTTATGTCATAAACTGCCATGGAACATTTAGTGTTGGTATATCATGTTTTAAATTTGTTTAGCTCTATTTTCATCTCCTTCTACTTTTCTTGTGCATTTTTGTGTTTTCCTTGATCTAAGAAATCTCCAGGCTTAAGCTCTTAAAATGCATCTCTTGGGCAAGTGCCTCTGTTTAGTATCTTTTCTAGGGAACCAAATCTGATTATTCAGTTTAGTGTAAGAGTGCAAACAGTCAAGACTTTCCTTGTTTTAGCCTTAATTATTGTCAGTAAACCAAACAGAGCTTCTTTTCCCCCTGACAGTTGCAGATATATTATTCTTCCAGAATACTTTACCAGAATGCTCCTGAATTCCAGTGTCGGAGCTCTAAGTCATTCCAATTGCACCCTTTTCCTCAGGTCTAGGCATTAAAACCCCAGGAAAGTTTTTGGTGTCTGAAACCTTACTATCTCCACAATTTATTCAGTTTCATAGGTTTGGTATAAATTCTACAAATTCAAAAGGCAGATTGGATCACAAAAGTAAATTTTGTTCTCACTAATGTCATCATATGCAGTAGATGGATTAGTGACATGGCGTTTTGGGTTAATGTTGCAAGGTTTTTGGCACCAGAGGGAAATGGGACCAGGGGAGGCTTCTGTGAGAGGAAAGAACTTTCCTCCACATAAAATAAAGACAATTCACCACTCATGGTTCAGAAAAGATTTGAACACAGTAGAGTAGTGTCTGGATTTACAGTAGTCTTAAACCCCCAGGAAAGCCAGAAATGTGCCGAATTATGAGGCTAAAACTGCCAAGTTATTCTCCAGGTATCTCTTGAATACAAAGTAGAAGACCCTTACCTTGGTATACTCTATATAGGTCATACTTTCCATTTTCCCTCTCTTTTCCTGACAGGATTTGGCTCCATCAGGGACCTAATGCTCACTTTAGCCCACAGGTTGACTGTGGAAGTGTTCATCTAGTTTATGTCGCTGATTTGCTTTTTCCTCACTGAAAAGCCAATTGACTGCCTTAATTTTTAAAGATCGTCTGCATCTGTCAATCTTCTTCCACTTCTTTCCACTTCCTGACCTAATCTTCTGCATTAGGGCTGCTGAGGTGCCACTGCTTAATGACAGATCCTGAAGGCTTCTTGTTCTGCACTTCTGACTTCTCACTGTGGAGGCTAATTAAATGCCAGCAGCTTTGGATTGCACATGTGCATTTTCCCTAGATCTCACCAGATGACTTCTGGATATCACTGACACTTTCCTCATCTCCTGGCTTAGCAGAGTAGTTATAGTAATTAATTCTATTTAAACCTAGGTGATTTTTTAAAAGTCTTTATGTCTCTTCCCATTCACCTACCTAGCAAACGGGGATCTTCCTTTTCTCCTTTCCTCCCTCTCTAATATTTTATCTATACCCATACTACACTTTTCCCTTCAGGCAAAATTAAGAGAACACAGATATTGAAAGAAGATTTTTTTGATTGTCAAATATTAAGGAAGACAATTTTGTGGTCAACAAACTAGAAGAGAATAATCTACAGAATAATAAAATCTATGAAATAATAGGAAGTGCTAGAACTTTTTTGAGTTATTTTCAGCTCATGGCCAATGCTCACAGGGAATATATATCACTGTAGATATGTGTTCAAAATAGGATCCTATCCACTGCAGTCCTGGGGGATGCCAGTGGGGTGAAACAGCTTCATGAGCTATGTGTGACTGGTGTCCCTTTGGGGAACCTGAATTCCCCTTTGTGTCTGCTAAATTGCTTTTCTGTGTGAGGAAGTTCAAGGGGTTGTTTTGGATGTTACAAGGTCTGTGTCTCAACTCCACACTGACTCACTCTTTCAGGTGATCTCAACTGCCCTAAGAGCTGGATACTGGAACATTTCACCAGCTTTATTTATCTACAATAAAATAAACTATTCCT